TTTATTTTCATTATTTAAGTTGATTTATTTATTTGACATTATCTTCTCTTTGCATTTGCACACTAAACATTTTCATGCCCTGCTCATTAGCTTGTGGCCCACTGTGCTTCAGGCTGGGCGCGCTCTCTGCGTATCTGCGCTCTCCGAGTGAGATTAATCGCAGCTTTGACAGGCGCTGCATTCGACGACGACAACGACGACGACGACGACGACGCTGCACTTTTTTTCTTGAACATGATTAAACGACCGAGAGCTGGTGCCGAATGAGAACAGGGCTTCGGCGGGGGATGCTCGGGCCGGCAGCAGCAGCAGCAGCAGCAGCGACTGCCTTTGACATTATCGCCGCCGTCGTCGTCGTCGTCGTCAAGTTTCGTTGAGTTGAGTCAATCAGTGCCTGGCATCATCAGCTGATGATCATCGAAGCTTTTTTTTTTTTTTTTTTTTTTTTTTTAATTTTTGTGTAATGTTTGTGGTTGAACTTTAACATCGCTTATGTCAAATTATGTCTGCATTTTGGGCAATGGCAACGGCAGCGGTGCTGGCGGTGGCGGCGGCGGCGGCTGTGCAGGGCGTGGCGTCGGCGAGTCTCGGCTAGTCGCAACATTGTGATTTATGAGTGTTTTTGTTTACCGCTCTCGCTGCAATTTGTGAATTATTACGCATCTGCGGGTGGGTTGCTTGCTTGCTTGCTGGCTGCAGCAGCTGGTGCGGATGAGGGTGTGGGGGGGGGGGGCTGGTGCGGGGCCAGAGGCGCCCTAACAAATTGCACAAGAGCCACGAACTTGAGAAAAACAATTGCGGCGATAGAAAAACATGCGAACAGCAAAATACACAAAACAACAATAACTGAAACAGCGACAATAACAACAACAACAACGACAATGGCGAAAAAGCAGACGCGATATGAAATGCGCAGCGACAAACTGCAGGAAATGCTGCGTGTGCGAGAGGGTGGGGCTGAGACCTACATACATGTGTACACACACACACACACACACACACACGCACAGACACAGCAGCAGCAGCAGCAGCAGCAGTGGGCAGTCGCAGCGGGCGAGACGGCGACGCGACGTCGTGCGTAGTGCATTCGATGCTTCGCTCTCCGCGGCGCGCGCTCTGCCGCTGCCAACTGCTCCATTGCAGCGCTTACATAAGTCGCGCGTCGTTTCCGTCAATGCCGAACGCGTTCGCGCCCACACGCGCCAGCGCCCGCGCACTCTCTTGCCTGCTATCGGCTTTTGCTGCCGCTGCCGCCGCCTCTCTGCCACCACGCGCGTAATGCCGCTGCTTTCAGCTGCAGCGATCGCAATGCGTTGCGCATCAGAACGAGCGACGCTCCTCGACCTTGACAGTGAAATTCATTTGCTGTCGGCTGGGGCTGTGGCTGTGGCTGTCGGCTGTCGGCTGTCGGTTGCTGGCTACAGCGGCAGCGGCGGTGGCAGTGGCAGAGGCAGCGACTGCGGCGCTTTTGCAATTTACGAGCACAAATTGTTTTTGTTGCTGCTCTTTGTACACTAGTTTGCAATTTGTAGAACATTCAAACATTTTGCGTATGCGGGCGGGCTTGCATTGCTGCTGCTCTTGTTGTTGTTGTTGTTGCTGTTATTGTTATTGTTGTTCATGCCATTTTATTGTTCTTGTTGTACTTTTTTATTGCTGCTGCTGTTGTTGTTGTTGTTGTTGCTGTTGTTCAGTTAGGTGCATTCGCCGCGCGACCTTGAGCATTTTACAATTGGCGCGACTTTGGCAGCGTGCGCACATAAAACTATGTATGCACGTTTATCTATGTATATACATACATACATACGAACATACACATTACACTTTCGAATTCGCATCTGCGATCGCCGCATAGAAATTTCTTAGTGCACCCTACACATGAGAACATCAGCTAGTTCGAATTTATATACATGCACATGCATACATACATACAAACATAATATACATATAATATACATACATATAAGTTTATTTAATTCCCTATAAAATACAAATACAAATATTTGATTTCAAATGCGAAAAAGTTCACTCGAATATTGATATCAAATTCGTGCTGATCAAATTTAGTTTCAATTCATAACGATTTTTTGCCCATTTGCGCACTTCACGCAAACGTCACAGCGCAGACAATACATGCAAACATGTACAGCTATCAGAACATATTTGTGCGTGTGTGTGTGTGTGAGTATGCGTATGCGTGTGTATGAACATTCTCACACGAATGTGGAGAATTGTAGACTTGCAGTTGCTTTGCGCTTCTCCTCTTCAGCACTAGTTCACATTCTCCATCTCTGTTTGGCTGCATCAGCACATCACATGCGCCCCACTCTTCACTCTCCCATTGGCCATCGTCTTCCTTCGGTTTCTTCGTCTACATTTTCGTCTATTGTCATGCAGTTTTGCGTCTTTTGATGTTGCCTGCCTGCCTGCCTGCTTGCGCATTATTTTGGTTTTAGTTTTGGTTTTGGTTTTGGTTTTGCTTTTCTATTTTGTTTTCTGTATTAGCAATATTTGCGCAACTAAGCAAAAAATAGCAATGCAAAACAAGTAAGAAAATTCTAGTCGAGAGTGCTCGACTAGATACTACCCTGAACCCAACAAATAAAAATGCTCATTTAGTATGGCTGAAATTTCAATTTCAATGTATTTAAAAATATAAATAAAATACCAAACTCATTTAATAAAATATAAAAATATTTTGAAACAATTAAAAAAAATTAACATCAGTTGCATCGATCGGGATTCGAACCGCGACTCCTCGATCGAGCGTCACGCTGCTAACACACTAGGCCACCTCACTCCTGCTAGTGGCGCTGGCAAAACTCAAATAGATTCACTGCTGCAGCGCCATCTACCAAAACTAAANACGGACAGACGGACAGACGGACAGACGGACAGACAGACAGACGGACAGGGCCAAATCGACTCAGCTCGTCGCCCTGATCAAGAATATATATACTTTGTGGGGTCTGCCACGCCTCCTTCTGCCTGTTACATACATTTCAACAAAACCATTATACCCTGATTTCCCATTTTCAATGGGTTCAGGGTATAAAAAGCACAGAAAAAAGCAAATACCGCACCGCATTTGTATAAAAATTGTGTTTGGCAATGAAAACGGTTGAACATTGGCTTTCACACACCCACACACACACACTGACACACACACACATGCGAGCTTTTCGTGGCGTTTTGCCGTTTTCCCAAAATTGTGTTTGCTGTTTTTTTGTTCTCGCTGTTTTGCTTTGAGCACACATGCACGAACTTGTTTTATTTTTAAGAATTTTAACAATTTGTGCACTTTCTTTTGTTTGCGAACAAACATCACACAGGCATGATGGCATGGAGGGGGGCGGGGCATGCGCGAGCCGGCACATGTTGGCGGCAGTGGGGCATGGCAACGTCAACGCTTTGGCAGCTACTGCTGCTGCTGCTGCTGCCCCGTTTGGGTCAAGTTTTCAAGGGCACGCGCGTGCAATATGCGATTGCGCTGCCGATGGCTGATCGCAGGGCGGCTTCGGTCGACGGTTGGGCGGCTGCAGTCTCTCGAAAGCTGTGCGAAGAGTGCGATTATGCATACGAGGCGACGGGCGCTCTCAGCAGCACACGTCTAATGCGATCAGTTACACTTGCCAACTAGAAAGCTAAACATACACACACACACACACACACACATATGCATGCCTTCATGGGCTGGCACACACCAACACACGCGAACGCACACACGCGCTGGCTCTTTCGCACGCGTTTGGCCTTGCACGCTGCTGCGTCACCCGCTGCACTTCCGCACACACACAAAATTCGCACTGTTCTCTCACGCTCACGCTCACGCTCGTGCTCGTGCTCGCGTTCTCTCTCCCATTTCATTTTGCCGTATCTCTCTTATGCGCTCTCACCACACAGCGTGCGCTCTACATCTAATGCGAGTGCAATTGTCGCAGCGACGTCGCGTCGTCGAAAAGTGAAAAGCTTGCAAAATAGAATGCGAAAATCACACACACACACATACACACACACACACAAATAGTGGCAACAGCAATAGCAAAAGACCGCGTCGTCGCTGCGTTAGAATCGTTTTGTACGCCAACGCCAACTGCAGTAGCGTCGCTGCCGGCGTCATCGTCGCTGTCGCTGTTGTCGTTACTCGTTTTCATTTCGCCTGCGGTTTCAGTTGTCATTTTACTACAGTCGCTGTTAGTTATTTGTGTGCGTCGTCGTCGTCGCCGTCGCTGACGTTGCATTCTAAGTGGGTTCTCGACTTGAAGCGCACGCAKCCACCCGCAATCAGCAAAACAAACAACAATTCACGCACTTTCCTTGCACATTTTTGAGCAATTTTGTTTTCGTTTATTTTTTTTTTTCTCCTCATTGTCAATTTCCGCTTTGACAGTGCGCTGCAAAAAGGCGCGCAAAAACGCGTGCGTCGCTGCCTGCTGCCCGCTGCCCGCTGCATGCTGCAGGCGGCTGGTTGCGATCTCAAGGCTAAGCGCGTCACACTCGATTGTTGTTGGTTTTGCTGTGAGATGGAGGAGCGAGTTGTGGGAGGCTCGTGTTACGTTTGGTCTACGTCGCCGTCGCCGTCGCCGTCGCCGCCGCCGCGTCTGCGTCGCGCCAGCGTTGCGTCTGCGTTTGCGTTTGCGTCAGCTTAGCAGCAGCATTGCGTCTACGTGTTCATATGCGCAAATTCCTTTGGACGCAGTCCGTGCCGTTTGCCGTTTGTCGTTTACCGTACACACAAATTTACCGTTGTTGCCTGGCGCTCTGCTGCTATAGCTGTAATTGCGAGCAATTTAGCTACTGCTAACTGCTCTGCTTTAATTATTTTGTATTTTTTTTTTCGTGTGTTTCCCATTTATTTAATTCTTGGTTTTTTTTCCTCTGATTTTTTTTTTTCGTCGCGTAGCGCATAAGAAATGAACGCCACGTTTTTCCTATAATCATAGAAAGAGAGAGAGAGAGAGAGGGCCAGTGCAAGCGAGAGAGTGAGAGTAAGAGAGAAAGAGAGAGAGGGAGAGAGTGAACGAACTGTTTTTCTCCAACATTTGTGCAAATAAAATTTGTTGTTTGTTTGTAGTTTACAACAAATTCTTTATCGTGTGTGTGTGTCGCTGCCTGCTGCATAAGCAAACAGGGTGAGTCAAGTAAATAGCAAATGATGCGAATTGCCATAAATCGTGAGCGTAATTAAAAACATGGCGTATACGTTATAAGCCACACCAGTCGTATAACGTATACGCATTTCGTCCACACTTTTCTTTTTCTTTTTTTCTAAGCTCGTCCATTTCAGCTAATAAGCCGAAGATCATTTCATCGGCATTGTATTTCGATTCTTATGAATGGAATCGTTTGAAGTACATTTTATGAAGTACATTTTATCCGGGGTCTACATAGAATGCTTGGATATATGTACATATACGTACATATATGAAACGTTTATGATTTTTCTTGGAAAGTGTTGAGAGTACTTGAGTCTTGCGTGTATGTGACTGTAATTTTTGTTGATATTAGCTTGTATCAACGAATACCCAGTCGAAATCGAAAATCGCCTAGCAATATACATATATTAGATAAAGATATACCTTGAAAAAGTTGACTTTTTATAGGGTAATCGAACTAAGAAATCGAGAAATCGTGTCATGTAAAGATGGTAATATATAGGTATAGTTATATAGATAGATATTGCTCGAATAAGCTCCATTATTCTAGGGTATACGAACTGCTCAAATCTCTTAGCTATATACGCTTAGTTTTTCTCATATGCAAAGTTCTTGTTGCTGTTGTTGCTGTTGCTCTTTTATCAGCTCTATCGACTGCGACGCTTATCAGCTTAATTTGCAGGACAAAATAGAAAACAATAAAACGAGAATTCGGAAATGAAAATAGATTTAGAATTAGAAATGTGAAATTTCAAATGCATATGCAGGCAACGGTGCGTCGCCAGCAGCGCTGCCAACGTCGACGGCGACGTCGGCACTGTCTGATAAGCTTTGTTTAGGTAGTTGGTGGGTGGACGATGGGCGGTTGGTGGTGGGCGGTGGATCGGTCAAGAGGTGGGCGCGCCGCACACACAAAAGTTAAGCGAGCGAAGGGCGTGATAAGAGAGAGAGAGAGAGAGAGAGAGAGAGAGAGAGAGAGAGAG